TTTGCTGTTGCAGAATTGAAAGTATTACAACTGAGTGACAGTTGTTTAATATTCTGATTACATGAACATTCTGTGTTATGGTTTTGCCATTTGACATATTAGATTTCATGATGCGATTGAATCTGTGTGCTGGAACCATATTTATTAACAGAGACTGACATGGTTCTCCTAAGAATTTATGTTAAGCTGACTGCAGTGATGTGGGAAGTCTATGGTGATAGCTGGGGGAGGCTGGGGCCCGTATAGACTAGAATCTTTTCTGTTTAAGTTTCACAAGAAAACTTCTTGGAGATGAAATCCATGTTTTCACTCATTTTGGCATATTTTACAATGATGGATGTGAGATGGGGGAAGACTGGCTCAAAAATAGGAGATTGCAGAGGTCAAAAGTCAAAGGAATTGCTGTTTTTAAGGAGATTGTCCAAGGGGGAGCCACAGGAAAGCACTCAAACTGTCTGATTTTATTATTGTTTTCTCTCATAATGCCTTCCTGGCTGTGGGTAGAAATACATACTAGTTAACAAAAGTTTTGGTCATATACAGCATTTTTTTCAGGAGAATAACTAAGGTCTGCTCATTCCAAGATAAGTAACTGGATCTAGAGCTATTTCTCAGCGTAGCTATGGCCTAAAAAGGTGGCAACATGATTTTTGCCTCTGCCCTCAGCTTAGATTTGAATCAAACAAGGCCTCACCCATGAGGCTTTAATAATTACTAATTTAGTGAAATTGGGCAGGTCCTGGTCTTATAAAGTAGTTTAAATAGATTCTAAACAGATTTATGTAAAATTCCAGGGTAATATTAGTAAGATCCAAATAAATAAAAACTTCATTTCATATTCTGGGAAATTATGGTTTTAAAGTAGCAGAGAGAGTCTGTATGGTTAAAAGTTATACAAAAAACAGATGGGCTATACCTGTATCCAGGTTTTACTTTTTAAAATTATTATATATTAATTTTTTAAACTTATGAATATAATTAACTATGAAGGTAATATTACAGCAAATATATAAAAGAAAATACTACTTACCCATAATCTAACATCCTAAAGCAGCTGCTAATGTGTTTTGGCACAATTCTTCATAGTCTTTTTCCTCGGTGTAACTATTTAGCTATTTTTCTTTACATATTTATAATAATAATTTAAGGACAGTGTTTTATCTTGTTCTTTTCATTTAATATTGCATTAAAATATTCCCCATGTTTCTACATTGTCTTCACAGCCATAATTTTAAGTGGCTTAATGGAAGGGAAGTGTGTAATGTAGAGCATTCTGCCTATTTCCAGTTTTAAACTAAACCAGGCTATGGGCCTATGCAGATTTATCGTTCAAGATTTCAGGTATTCTCAGGCAATCCAGAGGTCCATGGAATGTGGTAATTAGTAATTTTACTGAAGCATTAGGGGAATCTGAGTCGCAAGACTGGAACGCAGGAGCTTGCCAGCTAGAACACCAACTACTTACTCAATATAAAGACATTAACATAGTTTGTGTATTCTCAATTTGTCCCACAAGCATTTTACAGGGGGAAATTATTGTATTAGTTAATTTTTGCTGCATAACAAACCTTTCACATTTTAGAGCTTAAAACCATAAACGTTTATTTTTTAGCTCACCGTTCTGTGGCTGACTGAGATGTCTGGGAGAGTTCTGGCCTGGGCGGACTCGGCTGGGGCTAGATGGTCTAGCGTGGACTCAATCACATGGTTGGGTTGGCAGGCTGTTGGCCATAGTGCCTTGGCTTTTTAGTATGTTTCCTCTTCAGCATCATAGCCCTAGCTTGGGCTCATTTGCCTGAGGGTCTCATGGTTTCAAGTGCAGAAAGAGAAAACACGATTTGTGTGCGAGCATTTTTCAAGCCTTTTTTGCTTGCATCATATCTGTTAATATTCTGTAGGCCAAAGCAAGTCATATGGGCAAACCCAGATCAAAGAATGAAAAAAGAGACTCTATTTCTTGATGGGTGGGGCGGCAATATCACAGGGCAGAGGTGCATGCAGGCAGGAATGGAAAAAATTATTGGAACCATTTTTGCAAATAAACCAACACAATTTCATATATAGATGTATGGTCAAATTTGGGAATCTTTAAAAATCCCTGGCAGATTCCTCCACAAACCCAAGGCCCATATAACTTGTAATTCATGGGAAGGGGGGAGCTTCCAGTTATGGGCAAGTATTATAAATAATACTTTAATGTACTTCTTTGTGTATACAGTTTTTAAAATATTTTGAGTTATTTGGTTAGGATAGAGTCCCAGAAGAATTCTTGGGGTAATGGAAACAAGTATTTTTATGTCTTTTAATATTTGCTTTCCAAAAAGTTGTGTTGAATCATGTCCCAACAGCAGTGTATGTTTGATTACCTGTTTCACTATACTTCAGTTAGCACTGAATGTTAACATTAACAAAATTTTCTAGTGAGAAGTTAAAAAATGGTATCTGATTTCTAGGGGTATGGATTCTGCCATAAGAGAATTCTACAGACTGGGTGGCTTAAACAATAGAAATTGATTGTCTTCCAGTTCGGGAGGCTTGAAGTCCGAGATTGAGGTGTAGACAGGTTTAATTTCTTCTGAGACCTCACTTCTCAGCTTGCAGATGGCAGCTTTTCTCTGTGTACATGAAGCCCTAGTGTCTCTTCCTCTTTTTGTAAGGATAACAGTCATATTGGATGAGGGTTCCACCCTTATGAACTCATTTAACCTCTATTAACTCTTTAAAGGCCTTATTTTTCCAAATATAGTTACATTGGTAGTTAAGTCTTCAACGTATGAATTTCTGGGGAACACAATTCAGTTCCTACCAGGGTGGATCTAAAAGTTGTATGGGGCCTGAAGCTTATACAATTTCGGGGCCTTCTTTAAAAAGAATGTAAAATTATGAATACAAAATTGCTAGGTCCCCTGCCTAGGGTTTGGGAAGGGGCCTGTGCAGGCAAAGGCCCTGAGGCTTAAGGTTCGTGGCTTACAATGAACCCGCCTCTGCTCATTGTTGCTTTTGCACTTAACAGTGGGCATGATTGCTACTTACTTATATTTGCCAGGTATAAAGTTAAGGCTATTGGTTTGATTATAGAGCAACAGGAGAGCAGTGTTATCATTTAGGGTGGAAGGGTCTCAGGTTTAAAGTTCTGAGTTTAAACAGACACCTAGGGTTTTTAGGAGGTCTTATTTGTTCTAGTGGTGCAGAAAAGCACTTGTGTGGTATGTTTTCGTGACAATAAAGTCATGAAAGAAAGAGTGTGTCTTATTGCCCAAAGTGCTACCTCTCCCGTCTGAGCACCGATGGCTAAAACATGATCAAGAGGGGACACATCTTCATTCTTTAGTTAGATACCGGCCTTAGAATTTAGCTACCCTTGGGAGAAGGAACACATCAACTTAAATTTGCATTAAGTTATACATGCCTGACGCTAGATTTTCTGGGAGCAGATTTTCATATGGGGAAGCAAGATGGTATTAAGTATATAAACACGTGTGTTTGAAGAGAAGGTACTGAAAAATGGAGATTGAAGTGCAAATGACAAGCTTCACTTTAAAAAATTTTAGATAGGGCAGTGCTGCTTACAGAGGACTTGGTTGATATGCCTTAGTAGAGACCTTGTTTGCATGGGGAATCTGTTGTTTTAGAAATGTGTTTCTGCTGCTGTTTCTGCTTCCAAGAATGTCAGATAAAGGGGCCTGAACACAACTGGGGACGTGGGAAGGGGGAACCTCTAGTCATGGGCAGAGGTGGGGCTGTGATGTAACAGGCATTGGCTTAGACCAATGGGAATGCAGAAACGGATGGGGCAGAGATCCTTGGGTGTAATGACTAATTAAGCATGATCTTTAAGTAGAGGTTGCAGGAAGTTTGGGGAGTTGATTGGTAGGACTGGGTAGAAAGCAGAAGTAATATAGGAGGTGGAGGTAAAGAGAAGAGAAATTAAGAAGGAAAAGTCTCATCAAATGACATATTTAAAGATAAATTAAACACAGAAAAGGTAAATATAATTTTTTTTCTTCTGGCTAAGTAATATAGACAATTCACATAGCTATGGAGATGATTATTCAAAATCACCATGAACCTCTTGGCTTCTGGAAGATAGCCAATGTGATTCCCAGAGCTTAGAGGGGCCTGTCTTAACCACCAAACTGAGTTTCCACTGACACCGATACGAAACATGTAGAAAAATATTAGCATTTCCTATTCAAACAAATACGATATAGTCTGGGGACATAAGGTTATCTAATTTTCTTTCAAAAAGATAGCAGTTAAGAAAGCACATAGTTTAAACAGGAAAAACGCTTTGCACAATGTGACCCACTGATCCAAGCCCGGGTAGTTCTCATTGCCCGGGGAGAACAAGCAGAGCATTGTTTCAGCGATGAAAGGAAAAACATCCTCTGATTTTCCAAGTTTGTTCTGAACTAAATTTTTGGTTGAAATAGAAAGATGTATTTTTTTTCCTTCTCTTGCCACACTTCTTAATTTTTTAACCCATTTTTTCATGAAGCTATCTAAGTGGATGTTGAAACAGTGAATGTTAAGAAAGAGTACATTTCCTATGTAAACAAACACAACCCGGCTTAGAGAGAAAGGAAAGCAGTCCTGTCAACCCGAAAGGACCCAGCACATGGTAATTTTTGTAATTGAAGTATCCCAGGGATTCCAGGGTACATGAACAATCCATAAAACAGGAATGAGACCACACAAAAACACGCCCGTGGCTCCAGGCGGGCAGGGCTGAAAAGAAGCAGAGCTTTAACAGTAGGAAGCAGGGGCCTTGCATCAGAGGATCTTTGTAAATGTGCCTCTAAAATGAAAGTCCTCTCTAAGCTCCTTCCAGGTAAAAATGCTGTTTAGTGGGGCTGAAGGCTGTGAAACACGAGCAATACAGAGAGGAAGACAAAAAGACTGGTGAGGTCACGACCTTGAGCCTTACTGTTTTCTTTCTCAAGGTCTTTTACATGCATCGTTGGATTGCAGTTTCAAGCCTGGGATTCCAACGGAATTAACGTCCACTGAAAACTTACTGTGCTCAAGGCGCAGAATGGGGTGGTTTTATACACATTCTCCCATTTGGATTTTTCAAAGACAACATCTAATCATCCCCAGAGAAACTGCAACTGAGAAGATAGGATGGGTGAGATGGTCCCTAAGTCTGTCCTAGACACAGTTGTCTTTGCAAGTCCTCTGCCATAGTCAAAGGTGCTTTCTTGCCTACCTGCTGGTAAATCCTTGACTGTCTGATTTCTCTAAATAACTATAATTGGAGCAATCAGATAATTAAAAAAAAAAAAGCTGCAGGAGAGATGTTAATGTTCTAAAATATAGTTTCCATTCTAATTGCAGATGAAGTGCCCTGGGGGCCAGAGTCCAGACAAGTATTTTGGCACCTCCAAGGCCTGAAAGAACACAGAGAGGAAAAGAGAGACCCTGTTATCCTTCCGCAGGGGTGGCCATTCAGCCTCTCAGAGATGGAAGTTAAGATTTCCTTTGGTGTAAGTGGGCAGTTTGACTGGCTGCAAGGAGAGCCTCAGTTTGTTTAATTTGGAGTAAAATTTTATGAGTTAATCTCTAGTGAGGGAAAGCAGCAGTAAACACAGAACATACTGGTCATTATTCTAAGTATTTCTACATTCTTTCTCATGCATGAAACGAGAAAAAAATGTCACAAAAACGAGGAGGCATGGTACTCAAACGTGTGTGTGTGTGTCTGTGTGTGTGTGTATGATTTTGTTTTGATCAAACCATCTGGTGTGCAACATACCCCAGGAGTGTGAAGGCAAACATTTACCAAGAGATTCACATGATTTCTGCTGTGTATACTCATATTTGTAGAAGATGCTTATGTTTTCAGAAAGTGGAGATAAACAGATCTCTCTGCATTTATTAATGCAGCCCAGTTCTTTGCAGACCAAACTGTTATTTATTTTAGTGGGCCTTAGAAACTCAGGTGTGTTAAAAAGCCAGACAGACATACACAATCTGGAAATGATCACTGTCATGTCTGAGGAAAATGTTACCGTGCTCCTCAAGTTTAATAATATAGGCAAAAAATTCAGGGATATTGCGATACGATGGTGTGCTGAAAAGTGGATTAAATCTCGATTAAATCACAACATAAATAATGCCTTAACTAAAAATGTTAAAGGCAACCTTGAAATGGTCTTAAAAACAAAAGAGGTAATTTATGTGATTTATTAGGGGAGAGAAAAAGTAGCTTGGTGTGTGTTCTGTGGATTTCATGTTTAATGGGATGGACTTTTAGGGAAATGGCTGGGGATTTGAGGAAGCTAAATGAAAAACCCCTATATGCTGGCTGGAGTTTTAAGAGGATAGAGGGAGGGAAAAATCACCCATCAACCAACCAACCAAACCAAACCAACAGAGTCCGAGTGCCCCAGCACTGGAAGCAAGACAATTGTTTCCTAGGGCACTCCTGGCTACCAGGAGGCTGCTCAATAAGGGAGCACTTAAACTTCAAAAAGGAAAAAGCAGATTTATTAGGAGGCACACATGAGGCTTTAAGGGAATGCTCGTGGTAACTAGGACTCCTGCTGTTCTCATTCCTGTGCCTTTGTATTGCTGAAAACCCTTCTGCAAGATCCAAATATGCCTTTGGTTTTTTTTTTTTTTCCCCCCACACGTGTTGCCACTTGAACATTTTGCAACACCAATCTCTCTGAAAAGTTCAGGATGTAGGGTACTTCCTCTTGAAGATCTCTCAGTTCTTCATAAGGAATTGGCCATACTCAGCTTCACTATGTGGGGGGCAGTGCTGGAGTGGGGTGGGGTTGCTGGGAGACATGTTCCTTGTGGGTCATGTGTCCCCGTGGGCAAAGGATATCACCTCTTGGGGCTCAGTTTCCTCATCAGTAAATAGAGAATCTGCTTTTTAAGGGCCTTGCCAGGTCTAAGATCCTGTAATTCTCAGTGGGCCAGAAAACTCAACTTCTGAGCGATCAAACCTCAGAGTGACAGGACGGAATAGTTTGCCAAAGGTCATGCAGCAAATGCTTGTCAGTCCTAAAAAGAACTTGAGACTGTACCTGTCTTGTGACAACTGGACTCTGACATCTGACAAGGCAGCGGACTTTGCAGGGCAATGGCCACTTCTGTCTTGCTCACCATTGTCTGCCTAGAGCACGTGCCACATAGTGGGCAGAAGGTATTTGTGAAATCAATGAATGACAGTTTAAAGAGAGAAATAAGGGACTTCCTAGGAGCAACTCAGTTTTGAGAGTCAAATTCTCTCAGCTGTCTGGCAGGGCACCCCACGCAAGCAGTTAGTGTGAATTTGGTGTGGAGGAGGGTGGATGCCCCAGCATGCTAGAAAAAGATCTGGCAGAATGATGGTTTGAGAGATTAAAACATTTCTATCTGTCATTGAGACTGATGGCAGAGCCTGGACTACTGTGTCACTGATCCAGACACAAAGTGTGATAATTCTGGAGGCAATACAAGGAAAATTGGATGATAACTTTGACTCTGGACACTGATGAGTAAATTGGCAAACCTTGAACTGTCTAGGGTTGTGCAAGAGTCACCCAGACTGATCAGACAGATGAAGAAAGTACGTTGCTTGCTTGAGACTCTTCATAAAACAAGTCACATGTCTTTGAATTGGCACATTGTGACCCGGTAGACACACACCAACAGGAAATGAAAGCTTTGGGAGATGATACTTATCTTTATTCTGTGCAATACACTCTGATATTTTATGTTCTATTTTGTTTTTATTTTAGTTTTTTTCTTTATAAAAAAAGCTTAATTTTTAATTTTTATGGGTATATAATAGGTGTATACATTTATGGAGCACATGACATACTTTGTTACAGGCATAAAATGTTTAATCACATCAGGGTAAATGGGGATATTCATCACCTCAAGCATCCATCATTTCTTTGTGTTATGAACATTCCAGTTGTACTCCCTTAGTTATTCTAAAGTGTACAGCAAATATTGCTGACTGTAGTCGCCCTGCTATGCTATCAAGTATTAGATCTTATTCATTATATATAACCATATTTTTGTGCCCATTAACCACTCCCATTTTCTGTCTCCCCATACTACCCTTCCCAGGCTCTGGTAACTATCATTCTAGTCTCTATTTTGATGGGTTCAATTGTTTTAACTCCCACAAATGAGTGAGAACATGCAAAGTTTTTCTTTCTGTGTCTGGCTTATTTCACTTAACATAATGCCCTCCAGTTCCATCCATGTCACAAGTGACGGGATCTTATTATTTTTATGGCTGAATAGTACTCCGTTGTGTATATGGACCACAGTTTCTTTATTCATTCGTCTGTTGGTGGACACTTAGGTTGCTTCCAAATCTTGGCTATTGTGAATAACATAGGAATGCAGATATCTTTTTGATATCCTGATTTCCTTCTTTTTGGGTATATACCTAGCAATGGGATTGCTGGATCATGTGGTAGCTCTATTTTTAGTTTTTGAGGAACCTCCATACGGGTCTCCATAGTGGCTGTACTAATTTACATTCCCACCAACAGTGTACGAGGGTTCCCCTTACTCCACATACTTGCCTGTCTTTTGTATAAAAGCCGTTTTAACTGGGATGAGATGATATCTCATTGTAGTTTTGATTTGCATTTCTCTCTCAGATGATCAATGATATTGAGCATATGCCTGTTTGCTATTTGTATGTCTATGTCCTATTTTGGGAAATGCCTATTTAGACTTTTTGCACATTTAAAAATCAGATTGTTAGATTTTTTTTTTCCTGTAGACTTGTTTATTATCCATATATATATATATATATATATATATATATATATATATATCTCCTTATATATCCTTATATATTCTGGTTACTAATCCGTTGTCAGATGGATAGTCTGCAAATATTCTCTCCCATTCTGTGGGCTGTCTCTTCACTTTGTTGATTGTTTCTTTTGTTATGCAGAAGCTTCTGAACTTGATGTGATTTCATTTGTCCATTTTTGCTTTGGTTGCCTATGTAGTATTACTTAAGAAATGTTTGTCCAGACAAATGTCCTGGAGAGTTTCCCCAGTGTTTTCTTGTAGTAGTTTTATAGTTTGAGGTCTTATAGTTAAGTATTTAATCCATTTTGATATGATTTTTGCATATGATTTTTGCATTTGATTTTGCATATAGTTTGAGGTCTTTTAGTTAAGTATTTAATCCATTTTGATTTGATTTTTGCATATGATGAGAAATAAGGGTCTAGTTTCATTCTTCTGCATATGGATAGCCAGTTTTCCCATGACCATTTATTGAAGAGACTGTCCTTTCTCCAGTGTGTTTCTGGCACCTTTGTCAAAAATGAATTCACTGTAGATGTATAGATTTATATCTGGGTTCTCTCTTCTGTTCTCCTGGTGTATGTGTCTGTTTTAATGCCAGCACTATGCTGTTTTGGTTACTATAGCTTTGTAGTATGATTTGAAGTCAGGTAATGTGATTTCTCTGTTTTGTTCTTTTTGCTCATTATGGCTTTGGCAATTTTAGGTCTTTTGTGATTCTACATAAATTTTAGGATATTTTTTCTGTTTCTGTGAAGAATGTCATTGGTATTTTGATAGGGATTGCATTGACTCTGTGCATTGCTTTGGATAGTATGGACCTTTTAACAATATTGATTCTTCCAATGCATGAACATGGAATATCTTTCCATTTTTGGGTGTACTCTTCAACTTCTTACATCAGTGTTTTATAGTTTTTATCGTAGAGGTCTTTTACTTCCTCGGTTAAGTTTATTCCTGGGTATTTTATTTTATCTGTGGTTATTGTACATGCGATTTCTTTCCTTCCTTCCTTCCTTCCTTTCCTTTCCTTTATTTCCTTTTCTTTTCTCTTCTTTCCTTTTTTTTTTTTTTTTTTTTTGAGACAGAGTCTTGCTCTGTTGCCCAGCCTGGAATGCAATGGTGTGATCTTGGCTCACTGCAATCTCCACCTCCTGGGTTCAAGCAATTCTGCCTCAGCCTCCTGAGTGGCTGAGATTACAGGCGCATGCCACCGCACCTGGCTAATTTTTTTTTTTTTTTTTGTATTTTTAGTAGAAATGGGGTTTCACCATGTTGGTCAGGCTTGTCTCGAACTCCTGACCTCGTGATCTGCCCACCTCGGCCTCCCAAAGTGCTGAGATTACAGGCGTGAGCCACCGTGCCTAGCTGATTTCTCTTTAGATTGTTCACTGTTGGCATAGGAATGTTACTGATTTTTTACGTTGATTTTATATCCTGCAACTTAACTGAATTCATTTATCAGTTCTAACAGTTTTTTGGTAGAGTCTTTAGGTTTTCCAAACATAAGATCGTGTCATTTGCAAACAAGGATAATTTGACTTCTTCCTTTCCAATTTGGATGCACTTTATTTCTTTATTTTGTCTGATTGCTCTAGGTAGGACTTCCAGCACTATATTGAATAACAGTAGTGAAAGTGGGCATGCTTGTCTTGTTTCAGATCTTAGAGGAAAGGCTTTCAGTTTTTTTTCCCATTCAGTAGGATAC